TTTGTCTAATGCCTCCTCTCCACAGCCAGCAGGGTACCAGCAGAGTGGGGAGCTGGTGCCTCCTGCCAGCTGCCTGTAGGAACGAATGTTGCAGTTCCTGCCACTGCAGACTGGATGGAGGCCAAAGCAGAGGAGCAGGCAACAGAGGGGCCTTAGACCCACCTTGAAGTTCCAGATGTCATTCATTTGCTGACAGAGGTTGAGGTTGAGCTCAGCAACCAGCAACCCATCCCGATTACGTGAGAGTCCAGGAGTTCGGCTGCCATCAGGAGCTGACACATAGCTTGAGCCATAAAAGTAGCCGAAGTCACAGTGTGCTTAAGAGGCAAAGACAAGCAGCCATGAGCTTGTACATGGTGTGGGTTCTGCAAAGGGGCAGGCTTAATGGAGGGAAAAGTGGGCCAAGGCATCCATACCACCTCCCCAGTGTCTGCCATAGGCTGAGGGCCAAAGGACCTGTCTCCCTCCTCAGGCCTGAAGGTCCTCCATGAGGTTGGACCTACATCACTTGCTGCCCTTAAGAACATCTCTAAATGTCACCTTTTAGAGGTGTTAGCTCTTTCCTCTCGACACCAGCAGCTCAAAGCCCTAGGGAGTCACAGGCTCTAGGGGCTTCCTGTGTGACCCACTTCCTGTGGTAGCCCCACTTGGGAAAATGCAAAAACTGCCTTGCTTGTCTTGCCAGCTCACCCCTTCTCCATGCCTCAGGCCCTTCACCAGTGCAGAGTGCTAAGAGCTCCCAAGGTGAATGAGGATGCCCATCTAACACAACACAGGCTCAGAGCCCCCTTTCACCACATCTTCTGTTTGTCCATTGTAAGGAAACAAACTGCAATTGGGGTGCCACCAGGTGCTTCACCTGGAGGGAATCTGGAAAACAGTTCTGTTCACCCTCCTATAGCTTTCTGGGGGTAACCTACCAAGCCAGGTAAGATACCTCTTGGCAGCCCTTTCCTCTCACATCCTTGGCCAGAGTCATGGGACCCTGAGGTGGGGATTTCTAGCAGGTGTGTTGGTAGCCGCCCTCAGACCACAACGTACTGCTTACTCCAGACCGATGGCAATCTGTGCTGACTCAGGGGCATTGGTACAGCTGGGCAGATAGGGAGGAAGAAGGAAGATGGGAGCCTGTGTGTAGGTCCTCTGCCCCTTCTAGGGAGCTCACAAAGGGTCCCCCTTATCTCTATGGTCCATTTTCACAGTAGTCCTGAGGAGGCAGAGAGACCAGTCCCATTCCCATTTGATCCCCAGTTGGAGAAAAAGGTGGTCACCAGTGAGTGACCCCAGCCACCGTGGAACTCCCACAAAGCAAAAAGCAAACAGAGGAGAGTCGGTGCTCCCTTCTGAAGTGCTAAACATACAGACAGGCTGTGGGTCAGACCCTGCCCAGAGGAAGTAGATGGAGAAGGCGAAGATGAGGCTGACCAAGAGGAAAGTTCAGGAACATACCTTTCTTTCCATCTCCTGAGGTAAACTCATTGGGGAAGTGCTCCTGTGAATAAGAGCAAGGTTAAGAGGAACCTCTAGGTGGCAGCACCAGGACGTTCAGGACATCCACTTAGCAGACCAAGAGAGCAAGCTGACCAAGGAGGAACGCAGTGAGGTGGAAGGGTCTGTCCTTACTGGGCAACCAGCAAGCATTTGTCAAGTGTCCTGCCTTGGGAAGCCAGCAGGGCACTCGACAGTCAAGGTAAAGGCCTGGATTCTGCATCTGGGTTTATAATCCCGGAGGAAGGAAGTCATGTGGCTCCTACAGTGCTCAGGGTTGGACAGTGCATGTGAGGAGGTCAGCCTGCCTACAGAAATAAGATGCCTCCTTGAATAATTAAACAAGTGTGTTTCCTTATGCTGCTAGAAATCAGATAGACTTAGTGGGGAAACTCTGGTTATCTTAGACTGATCAGATGCTCTGATAAGAGCTTGATTGATGATTAGCCACGGGTGGTGGCACTTGCCTGTAATCCCAGCACTCGGAGGCAGAGGCACGCAGATCTATATGAGTTCAAGGCCAACCTGGTCTACATAGTGAGTTCCAGGCCAGCTGGAGCTACAGGGAGACCCTATCTCAAAAAGACAAAAAAATGTTTGATGATTAAAGAAAATCAGGGCTAGGTGTGGTGGCACATGCCTTTAATCCCAGCACCTGGGAGGCAGAGGCAAGCCTGTGAGTTCAAGGCCAGCCTGGTCTACATAGCAAATTCCAGGCCATCTGAGGCTACAGGGATATAGGGAGACCCTGATTCAAAAAAAAAAAAAAAAAAAAGAAAAAAATCAGGAAAATCTGTACTTGGGAGGTTTAATAGCTATTCTGGCTACATAGGTAAAAATATTGGTCAAAAAAACAAATGTCATAAATCCCAGAGAAACAAAGATAACAAGAATTCTTTCTTTTAAAAAAATATTTTATTTATTTGTTTATTTTTCATTACAGCTTTAACATATTCAGTAACAATTTCCAGAGCAAGGATGCATCTCTTTCAAAAGTGGCTATAAATTTTTAGGTTCACAGTGTTGAATTAATACAGTTATACATGATACACATAAAAATTTTAAGAAAATAATAAGTAAACTTTTTTTGGTTTGTTGAAGTCACATGTCCCTGTATCCCCAGGTGGCCTAGAACTTGTTATATAAATCAGGCTGGCTTCCGTCTCACAGAGATCTGCCTGCCTCTGCCTCCTGAGTGCTGGAATTAAAGGCACGTGCCGCCATGCCTGGTTAAATTATTTATTTTTATTTTATGTGTATGAGTGTTTCACCTGAATGTCTGTAAGTGCACTTGTGTCATGTGGTACCTGCAGAGGCCAGAGGAAGATGTTAAATTCTCTGGAACTGGTGTTTTAGGAGATTATTAACCACCATGTGGGTGCTAGGGTCCTCTACAAGAGCAGCCAGTGCTCTTAATTGCTAAACCATCTCTTCTTCCTCCCAAATATTTTAAAAATATTTTATTATTTTTATCTCATGTGTATGAGTGTATTACCTGCATGTATGCAAATACATCCATGTTTTTCAATACCCTCAGAGGTCAGATCCCCTGGAATTGGAGTTACAGATGTTGTTAACTGCCATATGGGTGCTGGGAACCAAACCTGGGT